GTTATAACAGTAAAAAGATTGTATTTATGTTGATATTATAGCTTATAGTATTAGTTAGAGCTGTTAGCTTGACTGTGCTCTCCCTTAGAGCCTGTTAGAGGTGGCTGGCTAAGATCTTAATTAGGTATGATTTACTAATACCCCTATTACTATTGATTTAAAGTAGTATTTATATGGGCTAATTTTGCTTGGAATAGCTTATTATAGTATTGTATATTAGATGCTACTTTGTATTTAGTGTATTATATGCTTCTAGGGGAATAAAATTAGTGTCTAGAGTAGAATATATTGCTTTAATCTCCCTTTAGTAAGTGCTGTTAGGGAAATAGTTATATATATAGTGGCTAATATAGTCTTCCTATCTGTAAGTAAGATTTAGATCTTTGTGCTTAATTAGATTATATAGTTCCTGTGTGGGTGTGTGATCTGGAAGTATCTAAGTAAGTTTAAGCTAGTCTTTCTCCTGTAGCTCTTCTATCACTTCTAGCTACTCCTTAAACTTATCTTTCTCTACCTTTAGTGAGTTATACTAGTTATCCTTATAACTATAGACCTGCTAGTATTATATATATATCTCTTTAAATATATTAAATATTATATTATTAATATAAAAAAGCTATTTCTTGTTAGTATAAGGATAGCTAAGTATAAGCTTTACCCTGTAAAAATCTTTAAATTATAGGGATTATAGATCTAGTTTGTAATGGGGTATATAGTATAGAACTCGCTCCTATGCGTAGCTACTTAATAGCCCTTACTATGTAGGAGTATAATTCTACTTTTATAAGGTAAGAAATTAGAGGTATAAGAGCTCTATAGCCCTTAGGCATGAGATATTACACCTGAGATACTTTTTATAGGGAGATTAGTGCTTTAAAGTATTGTCTATACTTAGATTAAGGGCTTGAGACTATTTACTTAGTGCTTAGTAATCTATAATCTATATAACCTGTAAATCTTCTTATAAGGGTAAGCTGAGTAAGATATAGCTTACCTTTTAGGCTAAGTAATTATATTTAGCGACTAATTTATTTATTAATTTAATGGTAAAAGAGAATAGAGAATACTTAGGAGTAATATATAGCAGTATCTACTTAGCTAGATTAGTATAGCTAGCGGTTTTCTACTTTATCTTAAAGTAGTATTTAGCTATATAATTAACTACTGCTTATATATTAGTATAGAGAGAGAAGTTAGTATTTACTAGCTATACTAAACTTATCGTAGGGCAGAGCTGGTTTAAGTATAGATTATTATGCTAAGTATAAAACCTATAGTATTGCGAGCCGGGTACCTTATCTACCTATAGCTCTGGGTGCTTTAGATAGGGGAAGTAGAACCAGTACTTAGGGGTAGGTGCTGGTGTAGTTTTACCCTATATAGCTAGTGCTTTGTGTTTTTTTATGTGTAGATAATATATTATAGAGTAGGAATAATACTAGTAATGGTTGATTATACGGGAAAGATATCTAAATGTTATTAGTTGGTCTTATGGTCTTACTAAGAGAGGGTTGCCCTTATCTTGTTCCTAGTGCTTATGTGGTTCTAGGTTTATAGTAGTGATCTAAAAGCCCTATTTACAAGTAAAATCTACTTGTTACTTCTTACTTTTTATATCTAGTAGAGGGGCGTGACTAAACTAGTATAGACTGTAGGAGTAAGAGCTGCCCTTTCCCTGCTACTTATACTAGTATTAAAAATTGTATAAGCTAAACTTTTTCTTTAGTATAATATTATAGAAGAGCTTGTTTTACATGTAAAAGTGCTAAGCTATAATATAGGGGTTCTTCTTAAGAAGCTTTCTTAAGAGTTATATCTGATTGGCTTTAGCATACTAGCACTACTTATTAAAACAAGGCATATAATAATATAAGCTATACTAATAGTTATTAGCTGGGCTTAATATAATAAAAGCGCTTAAAACGCTTAAATAATAGGTAAAAGCTTTATATTTATGCCTTTAATAGCCTTAGAAAGTGTGTGTACCCTTGAGCTGGGCAGAAGCTTGCTGGATAGAAGTAAGGAGAGCGCTCCCTACTGGCCTATCTAGGTTAGTTAGAGCTACTTAGAGCTTTTTAAGTAAGATCTGCTTAGAGCTGTTTTTACTTATATAATAATAGCTCCCTAATTATACCTGCTACTATATTAATATATTTAACGTAATAAAGCAGAAGGTAGGGTGCTAAGTAAAGTAGTTATTGTTCTAGTGTATTATATGCTTAATCTAGTTTATAAATTTGATCTTATGCTTCCTAGGGAGGTTAAAATCAGCGCTTCTATGTGGAAATAACGTTGGAAAGGCGCACGAAAAGATTAGATATATTTGTTTTAGCTTGTTGAGCAGCGTTCTCTGTATAAAGGGCATTAGAAGTTGATAGGCACTCTCTAGCTGCTGTATAGCTAGAGGTATCTCTATAAGGGGCTCCTTAAGGTACTCTTGATTAATATCTGCCTTTAATTATTCTAGCTTAGTCTATATAGTAGTAATATTTAGTATAGTGATTTTATTGTAGTTATTAGGGTTAGGCTTGTTGTTAGGGTTAGATATAGGGCCCTTAGTAGCGCTAAGACTGATTTTACTTGTAATTGTTTTTATATAGATATAATTAAATATAAAGCTGTTTTTTAGAAGGCTTTTTAACATGTGTTTATTTTATATGAAATTATAATATATTAGATAATAGCGATAGAGATACTTTAGCTATTACTTAATATAGTACTTATATATAGTAAATTACTTTTAAAACTATGCTTCTTACTACTGATTTTAATCTAGTAACTATAAGAGAATGATATCAAGGTGCTCTGGGTATAGTAAAAGCTTATGGTATATCTTACCTATATTATGTAGGAAGTGGATGATATAGCTATAATATTTATACTGCTAACTATATACCTAGTAGACCTAGATAAAAACATAAACTTGTGCGATAAGTATTTCTTTAACTATATTTAGCATTAGGAGCTTGTTTGGTACGTCTTTAAAATTAAGCTGATTCTTAGCTAAGTAAAAAAAGGGCTTATCTATATATTTTTACAAATCTATAGCGAGGCACTTCTTATATATATTATTTTGATTTAGCTTTATATTAAACTATTTTTACTTATAATATATATAAAGCTTATGTTTTTCTATGTTTAACGTATTGTTAAACTCTTATAATAACGTGTTATTAGCTTTATTAAGAGCTAGGGCATCTAGATTACTAGAGAATAAGGGAATAAGCTTTTAAAATACTTAAATATTATATTTAATAAGGCTAAGAGTATGTGGGCATACTCCTAGCTAGTTAACTCTGTATACTAGCGGTAGAGTTAGCAGCCTTGTTCTGGCTTAACCTTGTCTGTGTGCTAGTATTAGAGGGAGCTCCTGAAATGCTTTGGCACTATCTTTACTAGGGCTAGGAGTGTGTGAGTGTCTTTTTAGCTGGCTGTTTCTACGTGTTAGTAGAGGAATAGGCAGCTGTGTTTTAGCTTGACCTTGTCTATATACTAGTACTAGAGGGAGCTCCTGAAATACTCTAGTGCTATCTTTACTAGGGCTAGGAGTGTATAAGTACCTTTTTAGCCAGCTGTTTCTATGTGTTAGCGGAGGAGTAGGTAGTTGTGTTTTTAGACAACCTTATCTATGTGCTAGTATTAGAGGGAGCTCTTAAAATGCTTTAGTGCTATCCTTATTAGGGCTAGAAGTGTGTAAGTACCCTTTTAGCTAACCTTTTCTATATGTTATAGGAGAAGTAAGTAGTTATGTTCTTAGACAACCTCCTCTAGGCGTTAAAGGGGATCCTAATATAATTATAGGTCTGTTCTTATTTTCAGTGTTTAACCCTTTAAAAATAGCTTAAAGAGTAGTTAGAGTAGGAGTCTAAGAGATAATTTTACTGCCTTGGTGTAGCGCGTAGTGCTTGTGTTAGATATACTACTGTTAATACGTAGTGTAAGCATGAGTTTTAGCCTTGTTTTCTAGGATACTAGCAGCTAGTTGTTGCGTTATGAGCTTGTTTATACAGTTAAAAAAAGCGTGTATTGGGATTTATAGCTGTAGCAGTAAGAGGTTAGCCTTGTTAATCGATTATTTTTCAAGTAAGGGTTAAGTAATTTGTATTAAGTAAATAGTTATAGGCATAGTATTAGACTAGTTATACTGGTAAATATTAGCTAATAAGTAATATAAAGGCGCTTATAATATACTCTAATAGCCTTAGATCACCGGCAATCTAAACAGGATTTAGTCAGGGGGGCAGAGGGTCTTTTTAAGTTAAGAAACTGATTAGTAACGAAAAACAGACTGTAATCCCTGTATTAAAGCTGCTTAGGGAGTAGATTTTAAAGATCTATATTTACTAAACAGCTGGTATGTAAAGTAAGGAAGTATTAAGAGATATAATCTAGCCTAGAGTAAAAAATAAGGTTGGAGCAAAATCTAGCTGCTAGATATACTCTAGGATAATGGTTTAAGCTAGCTATATATAGCGCTAAGATCTATTATTTAGTGGATAAAACTACTTGTAAGCCAGTCCCTAGAGACTGTAAGTTGTATCGTATCCTGTTTTGCTTAGGGGTTGATTTTTTAAGCCAATCCACGTTGGCTGTAGCGTAGGGAAGCTGTTTTTCAACCTAATTACAGCGCAATGAGCCACTTTTTAATAGAGTAAAAAGCTCGTGAGCTAATCCATAAAGAGAGCGATTTCGCCATAAGTTTTAAGCGATTTCGTCATAAGTTTTAAGCAATTTCGCCATAGCTTAGCGTTTTTAAGCACCGTAATAATAACCTTCGGTCAGATTAGTAGTTAGTTAGTGTCAAGCTTCGGTCTGATGCCAAGAGCTTAACAGCTGGCTAACTATTCCAAAAGCTGAAAAGCCTTAACTTACAGGGGAGAGCTCCCCACTAAAAGGGCGATAGGCTGCTTACCTATGGATACAGTAGCGAAGAAGTGGATTCTTTGCGTAAGCTAGCGTTTATATGTAATTTTCAATCCATATCTCACAACAATTCATCAGGGCGTTTGGTCTAGGGGTATGATGTTCGCTTCGCATGCGAAAGGTCGCCGGTTCGAATCCGGCATCGTCCATCTTTTTTCCTTCTGAATAATTCCTTATGCGATATCTTTTTGGATTTTCTGGAGAGGTTTCCTACTTACTCTTAATCAGAGGATTAGGGTGTGGGTGGTCCTAAGTAGGAGGATATACCGGGTCCCAACAGCGCCGAAGATGGGACAGAACCCGCTTTCGTTGGCCAGCTCGGGTCCTTGATTGATGCATCTTGCCAGGCCTCAGGCCGCACCTACGTGTCCGCCGTCGATGCTTTCAATGAATAACATCCTCCCTCTGCCTATATCTTGACCTAGGCACTGTGTTCACAGCTTTGTTTACGCGACTGGCCAGCTAATGCGGATCGTCTATGACCTCGTGGCCGCGAATACCACACTAGACAGCTCGACATGCTACTACACTGTCAACAGCACGACACCCACACAGTTCCACCGCACTACTACGTGTCGCCTGTGTTATTTATCGGCCTGCTCGCCACGGCTCGGACAACCGTTCTGACGGGCGTCACGGTGGTTTTTTTTAATGCACTCGCTGAGTTGGCGGTACTTCCGGATGGTCGACAGGATGAGGCTGCTGATCGATAGTGTAACCGGCTTGCAAGCGGCGAAGGTGGCTGGGCTGAGAGGATTGTCAGATGAGGATATCATGGACTGCACGAAGGGGGTGTACGTGAAGTATACATGCGAAGGGGATGCGTTGGCATTGGAGGAAGTCGCGGGAAGTTGGCAGGGTAGGGCCAGCCGGAGGAGCCGGAGTAGGAGGTAAATGAGCAGGTACTGATCATTTGGAGAGTGGCAGCATAGACATTCTACGCTCAAGTCTCAGTTTAACCATAGTAGAATGAATTTAAAAAGTTTGGAGGGGCATATCGTAGCGCCCAGATCTGCCCTAGCCGTGTGCTAGCCAGTTGGTAGTGAGATCAACTGGGGAAGCGAAAGCAGCGAACTGGACGGTGACGAATTTCAAGGCTGAGACCACCATAAACTGAATGGAATTTCTGTCCGGGGATGTGATCACATTCATCTGTGACACAAAGCTATCGCCGAGGACTAGACGGAATAGGAATGAGGAGTAAGCCACACTAGTTTGACCGAGTCGCAACGAAATAGAATCGATCTCATCGTCATATCGTACCATAGTAATAAGATAGCATAGAAATAAGATCGGGCCAGACGCGTGCGGTTTGTGTGTTAGTTTGTGCGTGGTCAGCGCAACCAACTACATGTCCAGACCATGAAGCACTCCCTTCTTTCACTAGGCAGTCAAAAGTGAATACGCACCATTCACGATGCCCACGCTTCGTTTCATGCTCATAAATTTCAGCAGACTTCGATGTAGCATGAAGCTCGGCGATAACGCGTCTTCTCTAGTCCAGCTAAGCCCGTGCCATTTTTCGCATAATGTGAAACGAGGGCATTTCATTGGGCATTAGCTTCCGTAAGCCTGTGCCATTTTCCAACGTAACATATACTGGGGGTATATTAGACATTAGCTGCGTAATACTTTTTAGTTCGGAGCTTACCGGCTTCCTATGCTCGGCGAAACTATCTCGGAGACAACGGAATGCGGTTCCACCGAAGCCAGAATTTGCTCGCTTGAAAAGCCTACTGCTAACAGGTGAAGTGAGTCCTTTCCTACTGTGTGAGGGATTTTGAATACGGAAACAAAAGTTCCTGTGCAACAGAAAAGGTGAGTATTATGTGGAAGCCTAGAAGCCTCAATATATCGACAATCCATTGAAAGGGCATCAACCCTTGGGAAATAGGCACGTGCAATGTCGCTGGCAGTTCACTCGTCACTTTCGAATGTTTGTTTGTCATCGTTATTACCTGCTGTAGTAAAACTTCAGGCATTCCTTTGTTTAGCCATGCTAGTTTGCTCCTATTTGGCGCTACAACCGTATGACACAACATTTGTATATAAGGAGCTCGCCATTACAACCAAGTTGACTTGACGTACTCACTCTCAACACTCATATTCTCCCTACCTCACCCAAAAGCATCGCCAACCTATCGCTCTAATCTAGAACAGCCTCCGACATGTTTGCAGCCAAATTACTCCCTATGGTGGCCTTTGCCATCTCTGCTGTTGCAATCTCTGTTCCCGCCGGGAAAGCAGAGGGACTCTACCGTGTCTTCCGTGACAGCGCCGGAGTAGAATTCCACGAATATCTCGGCCTGAACACCACTGTCGATCCTCAGGCGGGACCATACATTCAAGAACGCCAAGAAAATACTCCGTTCGGAGTTGGAGTTATAACCACTTCATGCGGCTGCGGATACAACCTGGTTCATGGCGATTGTGATGCCGCGGTCCAGGACCTGAAAAACCAGGTTGGGGGTGGGACCGTCATAGGCTGGACGGCTGCATAGTGCGTATCCGTTCTAACACCATGTCTGTATTTTGGGGCAAACCACCCCGAAGTACATGCCACAAGTACGGCAGCTACTAAAGCGCGTGTCCCTGCAGTTACTCTATCCGCGGAGCCGTGGTAGCTTTTGCCTGCAACGACGATAGCTACGAAGCAGATACGGACCCCAACGACTCTGATTCTGGTTTGGCCAGTGCTGACCAGCTGACCGCCGCGTATTCGTACATTACCGGCCAGTGCGGCTGGTACGTCGCCGGCTCTTTGGTATATTACGACCTATTCCCCACCAACTACCTGTTTCCTCAGCTCGGCTACATGCAATATTATGATGGTGTCGACTTCTGTGGTGACGCGTTCAACGATCCTTTAACTCACTGTTAGATCTTATTTTGGCGTCCGCGTTTGAGGCAGACATTGTATCTTGCAAGATATCAGTTGTTATATTCTCATACCGTTCCCTCCAAGGTTTACTTTGGTACTAGAAGTGGGCTCCGCATTTACCCTCCTTGCTCTTGTCATTTATTTTACTTCTCTTAACCCCTCTTGACTTCAGAATGCTTTTCTTGTAGTCTTAGCTTTAGAAAGTCCCGCGAGATACCGAATAAACAGCTGTTTTCGGTCAACCTAGGAACCGCGAGTCGGAAGGGACGAAGTCAGAAATAGGTGATACAAGTACTAAAATTATGGTCCAAACGCGAATTTCTTGGTAAGATCGTTTACCTTAAGCCATCTAATATAGATTGAAGTCCCCTAAAATCAGCCAAGTTAAAGCTTTGGGCCTATTGGTTACACCGATCAACATAGGCCCTAATTACATCCGCATTTTCTTCCACGCCCTTTCTTGCTCTATCGGCCACATTATAAGGCGACATTGCGCTTTAACTCCAGCCCTGCGTAAGATCTCCTAAGGTTTCTCCTCGGTGTCGTGGTTGTCATCCTCAGTGCCAAGGACGTCGTCCCTGAGTTGACCTGTTTGCTGACTATGATTAACCACAATCGCTTGTAACTTGGGATGAGCGGGATTGACGACATCAAGAACCGCCAGGAGATCTCCCGGTCTGGTCACAGGTATCCATTCCGTCCCGCGGGACCACGTACCCATCCCGGATGCCTCATGAGCCAGCCTTTGCAGCTGAAAGGCCTCGTTGATTGACCATTCCAACTTCGCATACTGATGGCGACCTGTTCGAGTCGAATACCATGATATCATCGGGCCCAGAATGAACGACAATACAATAATAAGACCACCTCCAACTAAAATACAGGAAAAGCCAAAAATACTCACCGAGATAAAGCCTTCGACAATAATTTTCTTCATCTTTTGTTAGCAAAGATACCACTCTCTGTAGTAGTCATACGACACTCGCATGGAAGGTGGTAAGACTTGTGGAGAGTTTTGAGGAAAATACATCATCTTACTTGATTTGCACATAACTGCTTCTCGGCGGTATTATTTGGATAGATAATAAGACCTGACAACTCTGTACTGTTGTAGCCAATAACTGATGCTAAGAAGGTTGATTGCGTATGAGCCATGGCTGTTGCATGCCAATGTTGTACTTCAAGTTGCCACTGATTGTCAGGCAGAGGCCCTAACAGCGGTCCGTTAAGTTTGTCCCTGGCTGTTAAAGCATGGCTGCCTAGTAGCGAGAGGGGATGCCTTGTTCCGAGGCTGACTTCAAAGGTTGTCGTGTGTAGCCAAGTAATCCAGTCTTCGTCTTCTTTGTTGTCGATTAAATGATATAGATCAAATAATGCATTGCCGGGGCTTTCGAGTGGGGTACATGGATGCTGCTGTTTTATTCCAGTAAAACAATATTGCTCTAGTTCTTTACAGGCTAAGGGAGACCCAGGTTCATTTTGTCTGAACATGGTTCTGTTACCCCAGCTGCTTGTTTTAAGTTTGTGGACTTCGGCAGTGTTGCTAGTTTCACCATACCAGCCATCATTGGATATATGTGTAAATAGGATATGATCCGAAGTTAAAAACAAGATAAAGAGACTAGAATTTTGAGGTAGAAGCTCTGGAATAGGGGAAAAGCTGGAAAGGCCGGGATCGACACTTCCGTTCCAATGGAGAGAGTAGTGTGAGCTATATTGCTGTTAGTGGCCTATAGGGTGAGTCGGATAGGAAAATAAAACATGTTTAAAGAGAAATATATTACATACCGAACGCTGAAGTCACGCACAGTATCTTCGCCGCTGCGTGTTAAGTCCTCAATATCAGGATAACCATTATCTAGGAACTGTGTAGTGTAATTGACAGTGGTAGATCCGTTGACATTTGTCAAGGGGCCGTAGTAATAAGTGGTATATGACTGGTTTATCATCTTATCGTCTGTGTGAAATCGGTAACCATCCGTAGCCAAAGGTGCGCAGTGAACCGTTCGTCTAAATTGCAGTCTCTGATTGGTTGGTGTGTTACGACCAAAATCCTTGTGGCTATCAAGAAGCCCTGTATCTATGAACAGGTTTCCAGTCGTACTCTTGCAAATCTTCGTATCGAAAGGGCAGCTCGCGTTGGTGTTTACCATAGCCGGGGCCAGGTGCTTTTTGATGTAGGTACCACAGCTTAAACCGAGGGGGGCAGATTTACTGGCAGAGGTAGACGCGTAGCATTGGCGAGCATAATTTTCTGCCGCTATTGCA